CCCCCCCCCAAAAAAAAAACACACTGTGAAGATAATAAAAGCTCTATAATTATCAAACTGGCGGTATCATTATGCTTCAACATGGTTGTAAAGATCGTAGTGGATTTCCCATAGTGTCAGAAGAATGATGAAGATGGAAATAAAGAGCTAGAGAGGGGGACCAGGAGTTAGCGTAATGGCTATGTCGCTGAATTCCCATGTAGTCGGCCACGGTTCGCGTCCCGGACCCGGTGGCTTAAAACTCATGCAGGGTGCGTGTGTGTGCATGCCCAAGATCCCAAGAGGAGAATGGAAGAGAAGGGATTGCGGCATGGCCATCCCCCCTGGGGGGTGATTTCTCTCTTTCTGTCTCTCTGTCCCTCTCTCTGTCTGTCTGGCAAGCGCATGTGCCCTATAGCAAGAAGCTCTAAAAAAAAAAAAAAAGCTAGAGAGGAAATGGATATTTTGTTGTGTTGTAGGAAAAGTCATGGTGTATTTTTTCTGTGTTTTCTATGCAAAAATATGTCATGACTTCTCTTGACAGCCCAGTAGTTTGGCTTAACAGCATGAATAGAGGATTGGAGATAAAAACAAACAAAAATGTATTACTGAGTGGAGCAGAAGGGTTAGTTCACATTGGGTAAAATAATAGCTGGGAAAATTAGATCAATGATTCAACCCTGGCAGTACATAGGAGTCATCCATAGATATTTTTAAAGCAAGAGTCCCTGGATCTTACTCCAGAACTAATAAATAGAATTTCTGGAACATAAGCCTATTTATCTTTTAATGCTTCCCTAGAGGTTCAAATATTTAGCCAGGGTTGACAACCCCTGAATTAGAAGGATAGGCCAAATGTAGAAGAGCTATGAATACCCTGCTAAGAAATTGGACCTCTGTCTCTCAAGCAGTGGGAATCGCTCGGAGGTTCTGAGACTAGTGACATGATCAAATTGGTGTTTGCCAAGATAAACGATTCATCAACTACATGTGAATGGAAGAGAAATAAGAAACAACTTGAATTAGAACAGTGGCAGTGGGAAAGAGAGGAGTCACATTTTTAAATGCATTTAGATGTGTGGGAGTTGGTGATGTCAGCCTTGACCTCAGCATGATTTGTTTTATAAACTGATTATACAACTTCACCCTCATTAATTTGATCTCTTTTCTCTTACAACCTGGCAACTTAAACAGTAATTTCAGCCAGTTTGCATTTAATAGAAGGAGACCATTGTCTACTCATGTACATGTCTAGCTCATAATAGCGAGAGAAGTTATGTGTATGAGGAATATGACCTTTAACATAATCACTGTAAAGCATTTAATAACCTCCCACATATGCAATAACACAGCCCATCCTGCAAGTTTGTGCCAAAAGGTGGTTACTGGCACAGAGTTGAACCTGAAGAAATGTTCTAAATCATGCTATGCATTTTAATATTTTTAGATTAAATATGAAAAGTACTTAATTTTCTATGCATGCCTCCCTGCCTCAGCACCTACTCTTGTCCTTGAGTGTATGCTTCTCTCCTACCACTGTGCTACCGTGCAGCCCCTTGCCTCATCTAGGCCCATCCCCTGTTGGTGTCCATCATGAGTGCCCCGTCCTCACCCTCATTCTTGAGAGTAACTCAGTCAATAGAGTGGAGTTTAAAAGGAATCAGAATTTCAGTTCTCTTGTGGCACCAAAGAGCCAGGGGATTCTAGTGACCCTTGTTCCTGGCCAAAGTGGAACGTGACATCTGCTAATCAGTGCACCCATGCTCAGGAGTCCCAGCCACACCATAGGTGGGAACACTTCATACTTCTTTGATGTGTTTTGAATTTTTTATGTTTGGATACAATGAGCCATGTTCACTAGACAACAGAGAATAAGTTGAAAGCATGAGGTTTTGATGTGACCTACCTC